TAAAAAAAAAAGGGCTAAAAAAAAAAAAAAAAAAAAAAAAAAAAAACAAATATATCAGACTTATTTTTATATAACAATTTATAGTTTGTAAATTAATTACAAGTATATGTAAAAAAAAAAAAAAAAGAAAATAATAAATTCTTATTATATTATAATTTGATACAATTTTTTTCTTAAAAGTAAATACTTACTTTCGTATGAATAATTGTAATACCTTCTTGGTTGTTGGTCTTTAACATCATTTACATTTTTATTTTTAATTTAAAAATTAAGTAAAAAAATATAATTAATTATTTGTATATTTTTTACATACATTTTTAAAATATTTATTTAAAAAATTTGAAAAAAAATTTTGGTGTATTAAAAAAATGGTCGTAATTTTATCTTCATATTAAATGAAGTTTATTAGGAATTCATTTAAAATTACTTCTAATAAGAAATTTATTAAATTGTTTGAATGGAATTTTATTCATATTAAAGCTCTTAAATTTTTGGTAGACATTTTCATTTTTATAATGAAAGACTTCCTTTATATCCTACTTCTATATATAAAAATTGTCTCATTTAAATAATGAAAAAGGAAAAAGTATATAAAGCATATATATTATTATACGAAGGGTCTTAACATGCATTTACATAATGAATTTTATATATTTTCATTATCGTTTCTAAAACATTTTTATAAATACTTTTTTTTAACAAAGGGTATAGAAAATATAAAATAGTAAAAACTTTAAGAATTTCCTAAATATTTTATCTCTTTGAATAATTATATACAGAATATATATATTACTTTCTTCTATTGTATATTTTTTTTGTATATTTTTATTTTAGAATATTCACATTATGTTTAGAACAAAAATGGATATATTTTTTTTTATAAGATTACTGAAAAAATAAGAATTTTTGTAGATTTTTATAATGAAAATAAAATTTTTTTTTTTTTTTTTTTTTCTTACTAAAAATTATAGAAAATTAGTAGTGTAGTTATTTTTTTAGGTATTGTAGTAATATTAAAACTTACAAAAGTGTATTATTTTGCTTTTCAAAATTATTAACAAGTTTAATAATTTTTCTATTCATTTTTCATGAAATCAATTTTGTACCTCTACTTTTATTTAAAATTTGAAAAAGATTAAATTTTAAAAAAAAAAAAAAAATGATGAACATAGAAAAAAGGATACATCAAATAAATGATTATTATTGTAAAATAATGATATACAATTTTATTTACACATAATTTTTCAAATGTTATTGAAATAAATACAAATATATATATGTGTATATTAAAACTAAACGGAACTTAATTTTTCTTGGTTTCGTATTATTGCTTAAATAAAATAGTATGAGAACTTGAATTTAACAGAAATTATTTAGTGAATAAAATATTTTATAAGGAAAAGTGATTGTATATATATATTTGTATAAGCTTATGTAAAAAAGGAATAGATATAGTGAAAATTTTTTAATATGTTTAAATGAAAAATGTACCTAAGCCATAACAAAACACACAAATTTTCAATTTTTTTTTTTTTTTTTCATTACATTTCACAAAAATGTGGAACTCTTATTTTAAAAATTTTTATAAATGTGTATGAAAATTTTATTAAATAATAAAATTGTATTTTATCTTTTTCATTATTAAAGGAGTTTAAGTATTTTTATTTATTTTTTTTTATACATACCTTAAAAATATTTTTAAAAATAAAAAAATAAAGTGCATATTTACTATTATTTTAAGTAAAAAATTTAAACTTTTTTGATTTAATTATAATATTTAATTTTTTTTGTTTTAATTCCTAAAATTGAATTTGATTATACAAGTAAAAAAAAATATAAGATTCTTTATACTTTAAAAGAAAATGCATGGAAGAAGAGCAAATAACTCGAAAGATGAAGATTTAAAATTAGAAAAGGTTAAAGAATTAATTCCTGTAATGAACGATTTAATAAAAAAGAAAAGAAGAAATACATATGAAAAAGAATATATAGAAACAACTTCTATTATTTTAAAAAAATGTCCTTATATACAAACTTTATGGAATTATAGAAGGGAATATTTTGAATCAATAAAAAATGATTATATTAAAGAAAATAAAGAAAATAAAGAAAATAGTATATCAGAAAAAGGTTATGCATATTTATGAACAAAAAAAAGTAAATTTAAGAATAATTTATATGAGTTTATGCAATTTTTATATTAATTTTATTAAATTTTATGCCATCTAATGTTTATGTTTAAAATTTAGATTTTAATAATAATATACTTATTATTTTTTTTTTAATTTTATTTCGTATAGAGGATGATAGGAAAGATTTCCTTAAAAAAAATTTAGATGAATTAAGAAAAATAATTAAAAATGAAAATATAATGGTTGAAGATATTTTAAAAAAATTTAATAAATGTAATGAATTATGGTTCCATAAATTATGGTTAATAAAATATTCCTTAAAAAATAATCTAATAAATGTTACTGATCTATTAAATGAGTTAGAATATTGCAAAAATTCTTTTCTTAAGGACGATAGAAATTATCATTGTTGGAATTACAGATCTTATATAATATCATGTATAAATATTTCTCATAGAAAATTAGAATATGAAGAAAAAGAAAATGATGATTCAAAAAAAGTGAATTCTGATTTTAATGTTTATAAAGCCAATTATGAGTTATCAAAGGAATTAATTGAATTAAACTTTTCTAATTTTTCAGCTTGGTTCTTGAAATACTCATTAAAAGAGTCATTAATTGATACTAAAGAAGAATTATATTTAATTAAAAATGCTATTTTTACAGACCCATTTGATCAGAGTTTATGGGAATTCTATAGATGGTTTCTTTTTCAAAATGGTAACTACGAAGAAGAAATATTTTTTGTTCTTTTAAATAATGATTGTTTCTATTTTTTTTTTCACAATTTAATTAAAGTAAATTTATCAAAATGTAAATGTTATAATTCAAAACATAATGAAATAAATGGTATCTGGGATAAACAAATTATTACCATAAATAATTCAAGCAATAATTCAGAGTCTTATATATATTTTTTTAAAGTTAATAAAGATGTAAACTTAAGTGAAATTAGATATCTAAAATTTTTTATATATTATTTTAAATATAATATATATAATCCTGATAAAATAAATTACGAAAAAAATATATTACAAGATTTAATAATTGGTCATGATTACTTAAATGAAGAAAATAAATTTGAATACGTTATTAATTATGAAATCGATTTTCAAAAATTTTCAAAAAATAATAATTTTAAAATATTATTAGACTATAATAAAAAAAATCTATTAAATAATGAAATATTTCGTCAAGTAGATCATAGAAATAAATATTTTAATTTATATAAATATATAAATTGTTCTAGTATTGTTTTAAATTTAGGAAAATTTACTGATTTTAATTTATTATACTCAGAACTTGAGCAAATTAATGAATTATTAAATTTAGAAAATAAATGTAAATTTGCTTTGATTACAAAGTAAGAAACATATAATTGTATACTTTATTACAAGAAAAATATATTATTTTCTAATGTATATAAAGAATGAAACAACTTATAAAATTTTGTATATTTTTTTTTCAAAAAAGAAGAAAAAAATATTATTTAATTGATATATATTAAAATCTTTTAAATATTTTAATATTAAAAAAAAAAAAAAAAAAAAAAAAAAAAAAAAAAAAAAACAAATAAATTAATTTTTATAGGTTTGAAATATTAAGAAGATTAGAAAAATTCAAAGAAACATTTGAAGTACTTGAAATGTTGAAAGAAGTTGATTATACTAGAATAGAATATTATAAAGAAATGGAATTAGAATTAAAAATAAAGTAAAATATAATATTTTTTATTCATTGTCAATTTTATTATAATGTTATATATATATATATATATATATATATATATATATATATATATATATATATATATTTATTTATTTTTCTAATATAGAAAAAGAATACATGATTATTACTACGATTTAGAATTAGGTTAGGGATTATTTTTCAAAAATTTTTTTACTTTTCATATAAAAAAAAGAAATGTAAAAAGTATAAAAATACATAATCCATATAATTATATTTTTTTTAATAGAGCATAATAATAAGATATTAGATTTAAGTAGTTTGGATATTAAAGACCTAATTTATCCTCAAATGATTGAAGCATTTTTTATATCTAAGATTAATTTATCACGAAATCTCTTATCAGAATCGTAATAACAAAAAAAAAAAAATTAAAGAAAAAAAAAAAGTACGAAATATAATATTTTAAATTTAATTTTTTAATACAATTTATAGATATACAGGAAAATTTGCATTAAATTTTTTATATAATTTAAAGGAATTATATTTAGATAATAACCAAATAAAAAATTTTACTGTTCTTATGATGAATTTATATAATCTTAAATTTTTAGAGAAGTATGTTGTAAAAAATTTATGCATAAATTTTTTAGTTATATTGAGATTTTTATATTATTAAAATATAATAAATATATTTTTTAATTATATTATTTATGTAGGCTTGATGTAAGTAACAATACTTTAATAAATATAAATGAAGATCTTGATAAATATGAATTTATAATATTACCATTATTGAAGTAGGAAAAATAGAACTTAACATCCATAAAAGTTATATATATATATATATATTTTCTCTTTTTTTTTTTTTTTTAAGGTATATTAATATTAATAATAGTAACCTTTCTATACTTTTAAATGATAAGTATAAAGATAAAAACAAAATAAATACTTATGACATTATCAGGGATAATGGAAACATAATTTTATCAAAAATTTAATAATAGCAATAATAAAAGTATATAATTTTATTAAAATTTTGCTTTAACAAAATTACATATAATTAATAGAAATAATTAATTATCTAATAAATACTTTTGATTTAAATATTTTTTTTAATACACATTTTTTTTTTTTTTTTTTTTGATATATTTGTTCAAAATGGAAAAAAAAAGAAATTTTGTAAAATATTAATAATTAAAAAGTGAACATATGTAAGTTAAAATATTTATTATTATTATGATTTTACAAATATATATGTATACAGTTTCAAATACCTAAGAGAAAGAATTAAGAAAAACGACAAAAATAAATAATACACATGTGAATATATTCTTATATATTTGAGAAATTTTTAAAATATGAAAAAATGTGTCCCTTTACTATATATTTTCTTTATTTTAAATAAAAACAAAAAAAAAAAAAAAATAAAAATAAAATAAAAAAGCATATTAATTCTTATGAATTTTTTTTTTTTTTTAATATTTTAATTTCTATATATATTATCACTTTTTTTAAGAATATTTTTTTATGAGTGAAATATTTTAAAATTCACTTAAAATTTTAATTTTTTTTTTTTTTATTATATTAATATACTATAATCAAATTATTTTTAAATGAATAAAACAATAATATTTTTATTTTCATTATTGTTCTTAATAAAAATAATAATCTTTATTTAAATTCATTTTTATAAAAAAAGATTAAAATTTTAATCATTATTTTTTATCAATATTATAAAATATTTATATTTCCTTTATATTATTTGAGCTTTGGATTTTATTATTTCATTTGTCTGATATATTGTCTAAATATGTATCTTTTAATTTTATTTGCTTATGTCTATTAATTAATTCATTTTATATATATTACTAGTAATTTCTATATTTTACACAATACTGTTTTATCTCTATAAAACCTATCCACTATATAATAAAAAAAAAAAGTTTTTTTTTTTTTTTTTTTTTTTCTTAACCATTTTTTTTAAACTCCATGTAACATATATATATATATATATATATATATATATATATATATATATATATATATATATATATATTTTTTCTTTTTTCTTTCTCTGGAATGATTATTTTGTTTATAAAATAAAAGAACCATTATTATATTTTACTTCTTTTTCTTTATTATGATAAAATCTATCAAAGGGAATATTTTAATTAAGTGTGGTATAATTAGAATTTCCATTTTTAATTATGTCAATCTTTTCTAAGCTATATACTTTTTCATTAAGATGATTATTATACATATAAATAAGATTTACTTCATCATCAGAAACAAAGAAATCTTCTAAATTGTAATCTGCATTATCCTCACAATTAATTCTTTCATTATTATGTATGGTTTCCTTTCTGCATCTATCTTTTTTACAAAATATTTCATTATTATAAAAAAAATGAACCTTAAGGAATTTGTAATTTTTTTTATTGTATAATTTTTTATTTTTTAAAAGAAAATAATTATTTAACTTAAATTTATGTACATAATTTTTGTATCTTACGATAAAAGTGTTTTTTTTCAATAAATAATATTTGTTAAAATTTTTTATCCTTTTTTTTTTTATGTAATAATTTTTTAAACTATATTTATTTTTATAAATTATTTTGATGTGATTTATTAAGTATTTACTCATATTTATTCTACAATTTTTTGAATTGTTATTATACGGTGTAATAGTCATATGATGTTTCCTCCTATATTTTCTATTCATATATTCTTTTAAATAATAATTATTATTACCATTATTATTAATACTATCATTGTTACTAGAATTATCATTAAAATTATTATCTTCATTCTTAAATATATTAAGATCGCTTTCTATTTTGTTCATTTTAAAGCAGCTATATCCTAAATCTGATTCATTTTTACAACTTTCTAAAGTGTAATTGTCACTCTTCGAAGTAGGGTTACTAATTTTGTTTTCATTTATGTTTTCATTTTCTACGTTATCTAAATTGTTATTTTTTCTTTTAATATTATTAATAGATATCGGGAAAATTAAAAAATTTTGGTCTTTACAAAAATATAAACTTTCTTTTTTAGTTTTCTCAAGTTCACTTTTAAGAAGTTGAAAAATAGATTTTAAATTTTCACTACATGAATAAGTATCTATGAATTTTTGAACTAAAAAATAAATTCTATTTAAGTCATTCATATATTTTTTATTTAAGTAATTTTCTGATTTTTCTTTATAATTTTTTATAATATTTGTAAGATCTAAAGAAAAGTTATCAAAAATTATTTTTTGTTCTCTTATAATTGTGTTATTCATATTATTTAAGTTTTCATTTTTTTCTAATAATACTTCGCTTAAAAACTTAGAATTTTCAAATTCATGAAAAGGGATTAAATTGCTTATATATCTTTTTTTTTTATCTTCATTGTTATTTATATTATTGATATAAGTATTTATATCTTTTTTAATGTTGCAATGACTTTTCTCACAGTAAGAGTTTTTGTTCATATTTTGTGCATTTTCATTTAAATCACTATTTATAAGTTGAGTATTTTTGTTTTTTCCTAAATCTTTTTTTTGTTGTGTATTTTTCACAATTGTTCCATTTAAAGTTATACTTTTTTTAATATTTTCTTCCTTTTTATTGGAATTATTTAAGTTACAATTTATTTTTAAATATTTTTCTACACTTCTAGTGTTTTCATCATCATTTCCTTTCTTTTCGAAATTACTTCTGTTCGAAAATATACTATTTTGTGTATAGTTATTAAAATAACTTTGATTTATCTTACTATCTGAATAATTATTATTTATATCATTATTTATATCATTATTTATATCATTATTTATATTATTATTTGTATTATTATTTATATTATTATCTTTGTTAATTTTACTTTTATTTTGTAATGATTTATTATAAATATTACATTTTTTTAATTCAATATTGTCTATTATAGAAAAAGTTTTATCAGTTTTTACAAGTGAATTTATATATTTATTATTTTCTTTTGTAAATAAGTAAAAAGGATTTTTATAATTATTATTTAAGAAATTTTTTTTTTGTTGCAAATCTTGAATATCTATTTTTTTATGATTTTCTTCTTTTTCATAATTCATCATTTCTTTTTGTTTTTCCTCATTCTCAGAAAAATTATTTTTATTCACAAAAGTTTTATTTTCAATCTTATTTTTAATATTCTGATCGTATTTTATATTATGTAATCTCTCGTTATTTAATGCTTCTAATTTTGATATTATTCTATTTTCTTCTTTATTACAAATTTCATTTTCATTTTTATTTAATGTATTCATTTTTTTTATATTACTTATATCCTCTTTAACACTATTATTACTATTGTTTTCATCAAATGTTTTAGAATTTACCACTTCTATAGATTTATTTTGATTTTTTTTTAAATCTTCATTTATACACGGCATTATGTGTACGTTTAAAGATTCTCTATTTTTATTATTTGTAATTAAGTTTTCATAGTTACTTTCTGATATACATGAAATAATAGTATGAGATACATCATTACTTTTATTAAGTAAATTGTCATTAAAATCATTTAATAATTCCTTCTTAGAAATATTCTCATTAGAAATTTCGTCACAAATATAATCATTATCCTTTTTTTTTTTTTCACAAAATTTATAATTTTCAAATTTATTTGAACTTTTACAATTTTCGGAAGTATCTAATATTCCATTAAGTTTAATATTATTTACACTAGATGGATTACTACTGTTTAAGTTATCAATCTTATTATTTTGGACATTTGTATTATTTTTAATTATATATTTTTTTTGTTTGATTATTTTTTCGTTTTTTTTAATATTTATTAATGTGCTGCCTTCACTCTTTTCATCAAATAGATTTCTTTTTTTGTCATCATGATATAAGATATTTTCCTTATTTAAGTCACTTTTTAATATTTTTTTATTTGTTCTTACTTCACTAATGATTAATTTATTATTATTTTTACATTCTATTTTTTTATTTGAGGCTATTTTTTCTTTAAAATCTTTCGAAATATTATTTTTCATATTATCTTTTGATGCAATATATTTTATATGTGTATCTACTGTTTTATCATTATTTTTTTTAGAAAAATTTTGCAAATTATTATAATTAGATTTTGTAACATTAACTTCTTTTTTAATTTTGTAAGTTTGTTCACTCTTCTTTTTTAAAATATTTGAGTTAATAGTAGTAATACTTTTAGATAAAACATTATCATAATTTATCAAATTATCTAAAGTATTTAACTCCACGTTATTTTTCAGTATTTTTTTTTCTTTTGATTTTTTTTCAGAAACAACACACATTTCTTTATTTTTTGTTATGCATAAACTTTCATCACAAATAAAATCTTTATATTCCTGTCTTTTTTCTTTATAATCATTCTTTTCTTTAAAATTATGATTCTCATATTGATTATAACTACTATCTTTTATATTTTTATTATTAGGTGAATTATAGATACAAATATTCTTATCCTTAGTGACTTCATTATTATTATTATTGTTGTTTTTGCTAATATTTATTCTCTTCTTATTACTTAAATTAGAATCTTCTCTATTCTTTGTTTTTATTTTTTTTTCGTTTTCATCTTTAGTATTTTTCTTTTTGGTATTGTTATTTAAACTATTTGTAGATTTTTTAAGATTATAACTACTATTTATTATTTCATTTTTACTATCATAATTTTTTATTCCATTGATATTATTGGTATTACTTTGAATATTCATTTCATTTAATATTTTATTATTTTTTAAGCAATTTTCATCATTACTAAGAATTTTACATTCATTTTTTATATGATCACATAAATCACTATTCATATTTTTTAATTCTTCTCTCATATGAATATTAACTTTTTTATTCAAATTACTATTTTTTTCATTTGTATTGATATCACTGATAATGTTGCTATTAAAATATTTACTACTACGATTACTAGTACTAATACTACTATTTCTACTAATAATAATTCTACTAGTAGAAGTTTTATCGTCAGTATAATTCTCATTACTATTGTATTTAACATCACTTTTATTTTTATTATCATGACTTTTGCAAGATTTGTTCTGATTTTTATTTCTTTCAATATTACTTTTTTTTTTACTATCATGGTTATATTCATTTGTGTTTATTTTTTTTTCTTTTTTAAAAGTATAATCATCTAGAATTGAATTATGACTATCTTTCTTATTATTTTTGTAACTTTCAAAATTTTTTGTTTTAACTTTTGCATTATTTTTGTTCTTTAGAAATGTATGTTTATCATTTATTAATGATCCATTCTTGATCTTACTTTGATCAGCATTTTTATTATTTTCATATTTAATTTTTGATTTTTTTAAATCTATTTTATTTTTATTTTTATCATTACTATTGTCTTTGTTACTAGAATTATCTATAGAGTTAGATACGTTATCAAAAATTGAATGTTTTTCACTTTCATAATAACTATTTTCATCATTATTATTATTATTATTATCATTTTTCAAACCATTACATTTGATATTGTAATGATTGGTACTTTTCAAATTATTATCAGAAGAAAAATTATCATTAGAGAAATTACTGTATATAAAAAAGTTGCTTTCAGAATTATTATAGCTGTTGTTACTATTATTATTACTGTTTTTATTTTTTATTTTATTTTTACAATATATATTGCTTATATAGCTAGTGAGATTATTTTTGTTGTTAGTAAAAATATTATTATTATTGTTATGATTACTACTACTATTATAATTATCATTGTTACTAGTATTATTATTATAATTATTACTAGTATTATTATTATTATTATTATCATTATTACTACTGCTATTTTTGTCATTATTACTAATGTTATTATTATCATATTTACTACTATTACTGTTGCAATTGTAGTTAGTAGAAACCTTCTTATTCCAATCATTAACGATGCAATTATCACCACTTTTATTCATATTAAAATGTTTTTTTTCATGTTTACTTCTAACATCACTATTTTCTTTAATATTATTTTTCTTATATTTTATATTTTTCACCTTTTTATTATCTTGAATTTCTTTTTTTATTTTATTTCCTGTAGTTTTTTTTTTAGATAATGATGAACATATAGTTGAGTTTGTTGAAGATGGAGAAGAATAAGATGAAGTGAATTTATATGATGATTCTTCTTTTTTTTTTATATGTTTATGTTTTTTTTCTTCTTTGTGAAGAAAATTGGCGTTTTCTTTGTTTTGTTTATTAATGTAGCTTTCTTCATCTGTAGTTTCTTCGTTTTTGTAATTTTCATTGTTATTTGTATTTTCAATATTAAATTCTTTCTGTTTTATTATTTCATTTTTTAGAGAATTTTTAGAATAATGATTATAATTACTACTATGTATACTATGTATTTCTGACAAAGTTGTAAAAATATCTAGACTCTTTTTATTAAATTTAGATTTTTCATTAATAATTGACATTATTTTATTCATATCGTAATAATTAGTATTTCTTTTTGAGTATTCTGACACCTTATCATCTATATAATTTTTTGGAATATTATTTACAGAATTATCTCGTGTATTAATATTTTCCTTCTTTACGTAATGATGTACACTAAAAGGATTATTTTGATTTATCTTTGTAGAATTTGTTTTTATATATGAATCTTCTTCATTTTCTTTATTTTTTAAACTTTCATTTAATTCTATTCTACACGAATTTTTTATATCATAATTTTCTTTTTCTTGGAATTTTAATGTTTTAAATGAACTCAAATTAAGATCTTTTATTAATTCTTCATTTTTTTTTAAATTATTTTCTTTAATTTCGTTTCTAATTCCTTTATTATCATAAGAATACTTATATATTTTTTTATTTTTTAAAAAATTAAGAATTCCAATATTTGTGTTGTTATTTTTATTAGCATTAGAGTTCATAAAAATGTTATATATATTATTTCTACTTATATTTTCTTTTTTATTATTAATCCCATAATTTTTAATTAAGTTGTTTTCTTCTTTTTTTTCACCTATATCTAAATAAAAATTATTTTCTATATTTTCATTACCTTTTATATGAATGGAATTATAATTATTTTCCATTAAGTTGTAATTATTTTTTTGCTCATTATTATCAAATTTTCTTTCCATTAAGTTACCCTTTTCGTAAAAAGAATATTCTTTCCTATAATTATCTTTATCAATATTATTTATTAATATAGTATTAGTTATGTCCATTATATTTTTGCGATTACCCTTTTTATTTATAGGATCTAAATTATCACTCACATTTTTCAATATCTTATTTTGGTTTTCAGTTAAATTCTTATTCTGGTTATTCATATTAATAATTATATTATTATTTGTTTTACTATCATTATTTATTAAAGTACATATATGCTTATTCGTTAAAATTTTATTTTCTTTATTCAATTTAATTCTATTTATATCATTCAGATTCTTTTCAGAATAAATAGTATTATTTCTATTTACACAATCTGAATAGACATAATTGTAATTTTTAAAATTTTCATCAGGTGTTTTATTCAAAATTTTTTTTTTTAAATTATCTTTTGTTAAATTATTACATACATACAAATATTTATTATTCAACTTATTTATATCAATATCACTATGATTTAAAAAGCTCTTTTCATTATTTTGAAACTTTTTTTCCACTTTTTCTTCACAACTATATCTTAATATACTACTTTGATTTAAATTTTCATTCATTGGGATAACATTTGTTTTAAACTCACTGTTAAAACAATCTAAATTGACACATTTGTGCATTTTTTAATAAACTGTATTTTTTCTCATTTCTTATATATTAAGAAAATTAACATCCAAAAAAAAAAAAAAAAAAAAAAAAAAAAAAAGAAAAACATAAATATGTGCACATTAAAATAAAAAGAAATAAAAAATATTTTATGTTTTAACTAAAAATAAAAACTAAAAATTAAAAATAAAAGGTCTTCTAAAATATAAATAAAGTAATGCATTCTTTTAAATAATTAAAAACTAATAAAAAAATTAAAGAATATTTAGGAATAAAAAATATTGTAAGTATATATTAAAATGCACAGAATGTTAATACTTTCTAATTTAAAATACTCCATTACTACAAAAAAATACATGTATGTTTATCAATAGTTTAATACATTTCTTTATTAATGTATTTTTTTTTTTTTTTTTCTTTTTTATCATAATATTTTGAGTACATAATGCAGTAGAATATATATTTTAAAAAATTATTAAATATCATAATTTAAAAAAAAAATTCAAGATTTAAAATTTATTTTTTCCCATAAAAGATAGTTGTAAATATTTCTAAATACAAAAAATAAAAATTTAGACTTTTTTCAAGAACATTTAAATTGTGCAAATTTAATCTTTTATAATAATGCATTTAATAGCATATTAAAATTTTAAGGAAAAATTTAAAGTTAGTTTTAAGTTTTTATTATTTTAATTTAATTACTACTTTTTATGTTTTTAAAAAGATACTATAAACAACAAATGGTAATCATCCAAAAAAAAATAAATGTTTTTTTAATAAAATTATAAATACTTTACTTTTTAGGTATTATATATTTGTTTTAAAAAAATATATAATTCTAAACAAACGTAGTATAAAAATAAATTGACTGATATATTAATTTTATTGTATCAAAATAATAAAAATAAAGGGAAAAAAAGGAAAAAAAAAAAAAAAAAAAAATAATAAAAATTAACATAAGACAACAATATCAATCTATTGATAATTTTAATAGAAAACTTTATATTTCTATTTAATACATTCAAAGATAATATATAATAGAATATTTTTGTAATTATGTCTAAATTTTTTTATTAAATCCTTTTTTTTTCTTCTATTTCCCTTTCTTATATGTAAATATAAAATACAAAAATTTATTATATTTTAAAAAATAAAGAAAAAGGTTTAAATGCAATATTTTTTTATGTTATCATTTTTCCTTTGATCATGTTTTTTTATTATAATAAAAGGGAATAAAAATAATATATTTTTATATTAATTTCTTTATAAGATAAAACTTTATTTAAAAAAAAAATATATACTAAATGAACCTATTTTTATTTTATATATATAAAGTTAATACTGTTGTTTTGTTATAACTTTTATTTTCCTTTTGTAAATGTTATATAAATTATATAAATAAAAAAAAAAACAGAGGAATTATAAACATTTAATGCATCTATAATTATATATATGTGCAGGATATACTTCTAGTTTTAATTAATAAAATTGAAAAAAAATTAAATAAGAATATATAAAAAAATGTTTTTCTAAAAATGCAAATTTACAAGATTAATACGAAAAATTATCAAATATGTCAACAAAATATTAGAATATTAATAGTAATTTTTCTTAAAAGGTTTAAGATATTTAATGAACTTTACACCTTGGAAAAGATGTAAAATGAGTTTTTAAGTTATTTTTTAATCTTTTAAATTAAAGAATTTCCTTTTAAAAAATATTTTTTATACTTAAATATCCATATAGAGTATATAATTTTATTTTATTAATACCATTATTAAAGTTTTAAAAATTATAACAACTTATAGATGTGTTTTTATTAAATTTTTATAATATACCTTCTATATTGTTAATCAAATAATATATATGAGATTAAAAAGAAAAACAATATCTTTAATAAGTTATATTTGGTTTTAAAGGTGTTATAAATAATAAATAAAATGATCCCTATTATTATTTTTTTTACTTATTCTCTTTTCAAAGATATGTTATATTCTATTTTAAATTAAAATTATTATAACAAAAAAAAAAAAAAATAAAATAAATAAATAAATAAATAAATTTATAAGCTTTTATTATTTTTAATGTTTCATATTTTATATTAATTTTTAGATAAATGTTGTTACTCTAATAAAAAAAAAAAAAAAAAAAAAAAAAAAAAAAAAAAGTGCTAATTTTTATGTAAAATAATTAAAAATAAAAAAATTTAAGTATTTTTATTATTTATTTTAAAAATAAAAAGATATAAAATTTAATTTTCTTAAGAACATTCTTCAAATAAGAGAAATTGAAATAAAAATAGTGAAATTAACATATTATATATATATATATATATATAAACAAAGTATTATAATACTAAAAAAAGTTTTAACTATTTTGTCATAAAATATGTATACTTTAACGTTAGTTAAAGATGATATAAGATCAGAGATATTAAAGCTAGTCCTTGATTACATAAAAGTGATGATTGTAAATGATGAGAAAGTAACATTTCCTGAATTAATCTATAATGAGGTAAAAATATAATTAATTTAAACATTTTATTAATATTTTATATAAATTTTTATAAAAAATATGCAAAATCAAAATGAATACTTAATGTTTCATTGAAAATATTTCTGTACCTATTACAACTTCCTTTTACTTTATACATTAGTCTAATTTTATAAAATAATATTATTATTTTTTCTTTTTTTTAAATAATTTTAATTTTACATTTATATATTTTTAATTTTTTATTTAACTTTTCTCTATTTTTTATAGAAAATTAGTTTTGATAATAAAAATAAAAAATATAAAGGATTTTTTTGTTCTCTTTATTCATTAATTGACTTTTATAATTGTTTCAGTGAGTTGTTTAATGAGGATGAAGGTAAAATAAGTGAAAATGAGGAATTAATTTTTCATGTAGCTAGTGATAAATATATATTGAAGCAATCAGATTTGAAGCATCTAAATGATTTGTTAGTTGAGAAATCTTACATTGTCTCTGATAAGCACTCATCTATAGTAGATATATTTTATTTTTGTTCTATTCACAAATTGCTAGATGAAATGCCATTTAAGGAGAGAGTTGAATATTCTCATATTTTTAGATGGTTTCTTCATATACAAGAAACCTTAATAGGAAGCTTTAGTACACTAAAAAAGTTAGATGTTAGAGATAGCTTAGAAACTTTTATGACTAATAAAAATTTAAGAAATACAAATGAAAAAATTAACTCTACAAAAGTAGGAGAAAATAAAAAAGAAAACTTGAAAAACGAAAATGCAAAAAATAAAAAGAAAAATGTACAAAATAAAAATGTTAAAAATACAGAAGAACCTAGAAGTTTAGATGATATATCTAGATTAAATATTATTGTGGGTTATGTAGAACATGTTGAAATTCATCCTGATGCTGATACATTATATTGTTTAAAAGTAAATGTAGGTGAAGAAAAAGTAAGAGATATATGTAGCGGTTTAAGAAATAAAAAAAAAGCAGAGGATTTAATTAATCAGTATGTTTTAGTTTTAGCAAATTTAAAAGAAAAATCATTAAGAGGAAGAAAAAGTCATGGTATGATTTTATGTGGCTCTTTTGAAGATAGAATAGAATTACTTCATCCTCCTTCAGGAGCTAAAATTGGAGAAAGGATTATCAGCGAAAATATGGACATAAAAAGTTTGCCAGATAAAACATTAAGCTTTGATAAAGAAAAAAATCCTTTTTATCATATTCAGCCACATCTAATATTAAAAAATGGAATAGCTCATTATAAAGATACAAAGTTAATATCATCACAAGGAGATGTTAAATGTGTTTTACAAGAGGGAACAATTTCATAGTCATTTTAAAATGAAAATGAAATTATTAATATAAAATATATAAAAAATATAACAATAATGAAATATTTAGAAAAGAAAAAATAATATATATTTAAATAAAAAAATATATATTAAAAAAAAAAAAAAATAAATAAATAAACAAAAATAAATAAGAGGAATAATTTAAAAATAAACATAGATTTATTGTAAAAAGCTGTTAAAGACAAATTTATATATACATTTACATATAATTTTTGTTGTATTATTATTAAAATTTTTTTTTTTTTTTTTTTTATATATTATATTATTATTTTATTTTTTTTAAAGGTGTAAAAAAGAAAAAAAAAAGAAAAAAAATCATTTATATATATATATATATATATATATATATATATATATATATAATATAAATTTTTTTATACTATACATAGTAAAAGTAAAATTTTAAGAATATTTATGAACATGTAATATAGAAATATGTAAGCCCAAAGTTTTAAAAAAATAAAACTAAAATGTGAAATATTTTTTTATAAACATTGAATTTTTTAAAATTATTTTAATAGAATATGTGTACATATTTATGAAGTAATTAAAGGAATTAAAAAAAAAAAAAAATATAAAAATTTAATATACCTTTATAATGTTTTTTTTTGAAATTTTGAATTACATTCATTAAATTATCTTTTTAAATATCTTAAAAAAAATATGAAACTTCTTTTTATTAAAAAAGAGAAGAGCGTATTTTTTTAATATTAATATATTTTTTTGAATATATCTTCTTTTTTTTTTTTTTTTTTTTTTTAAAAAAGCTTTACATCAGTAAAAATATTTGTTGAAAATGATAGGAGATATATTAATAAAATGAAGAATTTAACTAAAAAAAAGTACAATATTGAATAAAAATATAATAGAAGAATTCATTGAATATTTAAAAATAAAATAAATAAAAAATGTATATAGCAAGTTTTTTTTTTCGGAAATATTCAAGTATAAATAATAAATTGAATTTAGAAAAAATAAAAAATGTTAATAGGATAAGTGAGGATATAACAAGTAACAATATAAGTAGAAGGAAAAGGGAAAAAAATATGAAATTAGATATAAAAATATATGAAAACTTAAAAAAAAAAATGTTAGGAAAGCCATTAAATAAATTACAAAAAAAATACATTAATGAAAAGTGCCCAAATTTTGCTCCCGTGTTTTTAGATCAATTAAAACCAAGAATGACTTTATATAGAAAAGCTATTCAAGTAAGTGAGTTACCTTTACCAAAATATCCTGAAGTTGCTTTTATAGGAAGATCTAACTGTGGTAAATCTACATTAATTAATGAATTATGTGGAAGAACAAATAAAGCAAAAGTTAGTAAATTGCCTGGATGTACAAAAGAAATTCACTTTTATAAAATTGCAAAACCTTGCTTATTGTGTCTGGTTGATTTACCAGGTTACGGATTTGCTTACAGTAAAGAAGAATTAAGATTACAGTGGAATGAGTTTACTTTGTTTTATTTAAAAAATAGAAAAAATTTAAAAAAAGTTTTTGTTTTAATTGATTGCCGAGTTGGTTTAAAAAATAGTGATAGGGAATTATTACACTTTTTTGATAGAAACAATATTAAATATCAAATAATATTAAGTAAATGCGATTTATTAAATACAAAAGATTTAACAAAAAAAATACAAATTATAAATGAAGAAATTAAATGTTTTAAGAATAAAGATCATTCAATTATTCCATTGAGTTCTCTAAAAAGGCAAAATTTAAATGAATTACGAAATGAAATTGCAAAATATCAGTTAAATAAAACCATTGTTAAAAATAATATTATAATGAAAATAAATGATTTAATGGAGCAAAAAAAATTAAAAAAATTAAAAGAAAAAAAAAATGATGAAAATGAAAGTGAAAACCAAAATAAAAATTCAATTTTTTCTTTTAATTCAAATATTTTGGATGAAAAAAAGAAAAAAGAAAAAAACACAGACAATATTTCTAAAGACATATTACTAAGTAATGAAACTGTTTTTGAGGCATTAAATAGATGGAAAATAAATGATAAAATTAGTACAGATATAAGTTTTAATAAATATATGAATTATCATATTAAGTATTTAATAACTTTACTTCAAAAAAATTTCTTAAACAATTGCTATAATGAATATAACAAAAATGATTTAAAAATTATAGATGAAATTATTGAAAATTATGATAAACCGGACCATGATAATATTAACGAAATATCTTCAATAAATCATTCAGAAAATTTAAAAGAAAATTTTGTAGGAAAAAAAAGGAGTTTTAAAAAAAGAACTTACATGAATTCTAAACAAAGTATACACGAAGAAGAAATGATAGTAAAAGAAAATAATAATAACAATATTACCAATAATAGTAATATTAATTTAATTATGAAAAACAATATAAATAACATATTTTGTGAAGATAGTTTAAATGAAAAAGATAATCTGAATAAATGTGATATAAATGGTGATAAATCAAAGGATGAAAGTATTTATAATATAATTAGTGATATAAATTATATTGAAAATAATAAAATAAATGAACATGATAAGTGTAATAATAAAACAAAAATTGAGAATTGTTTTATAAAAAACAAAGAAGAAAGGATTATAGATAAATTAAATGATAAAAAAACTTTTGAATGTTCTAATAATTTTTTACAAAATGAAATACATCCAATAGAGAGTGTATTATTTTACAATAGTTTACTTAAATTTGATAAAAATACAAGTATTGATTTTAGTTGCTTTCATTCAGAAAATGTGAAAATGGACAAACTATTTGATGGAAATAGTGAAAATAAAAAATTAATTGATAATTTTCAAGAAAAGAACTATTCTAACATAAAAAATGATATTATATTAGAAGAAGATGAAACATACTCTCCTGAAGATTATGCAAGTGGCTTAAAAAAACCTATGAAAACATTAAAAAATGATTCTTTATACAATTTTGAATTTAATATAAATGATAAAAGTACACATTATATTTACGAAAAAAATAAATCAGAAGCATATAAAATATTTAAGAGTAAGCAGTTAGAAAATTTGCATGATGAAAATAATTTTAGTTCATCTCAAAGGGAGAAAAAAAAAAATATTAATTCAAATAATTCTTCTACAAATGTTAATAATTTAGTAAATGATCATAACTCTAAACGTAATGATTGTTCTACTGAAAAATACTTAGAAAAAAAAGTTGAAAATAATGAAGAAAATACAAAGAAAAAATATATAGGTTTGAAAACAAGAAATGAAATTATAAAAGGCACTAAAAAACTAAAATTATTTGGTAAAAAAAAAGAAAAAGAAATAATAAATGTACCTACAGATTTAGCTACTGATTATTTTAAATTAAGTAATAATTCTACTTTTTATAATAAAAAAAAGAGCAGTTGGAATTATATTAGTAGTAAGTATAATAAATGGTTGAAAAAAGCAAAGCATAAAAACATATCTTCTGAAATTACTGGTTCTATTAAAAAAGAAGATGTAATGATAAGATATGCAAAAAAACATGAAACTAAATATAAAAAAGAAAAAAATAAATTATTAAGACAAAAGAAGAACTTATGTATGATAACAAAACCACCTAGTCATAACAAATTCAAAAAAATATCACGAAATTATACCTTATCCGATGAACAGAAAATATTTGATAGAGAAGCTTTTTTTAAATATCGTGACGTTAAAAAGTGAAATTCGCTAGATATTTGTGTATGTATTATTTTAATTTATTAAATTATATATTGAATTTTCTTTATATTTTATTTTCATTTTTTAAATCTATGTTTTTAAAATGAAAATTTTAAAGTATTTGTGAATTTATATAGATAAATATAATATCATATTTTTTTTTTTTTTAAATAAATATACACGTAAATGTACACTTTTATTTTTTTTTTTTAGCATTTGTTATATATTTAATTTTCAAATATCACATATAAAAATATTAAGAAATACAAAAAAAAAAAAAAAAAAAAATTTTTTTTTTTTTT